TCTCAGTAGGCAAGAAAGAAATCTCCTGACTCTTAAGTGATGAGGAAAGGAAAATAATCCTTCAAGAAGAGCAGTGTCTTGCTGGGGTAATGTGCAAAGATGAGTCCTGGGCGGGGGGGGTGTGTGTGTCTCTTACTAATGGTGATACCAGGTGAGCGCAAAAGTTCTTGTAAACTTCCAGAAATGGGGTGGGGGATGGTAAATGGTACTGTGATCACAAAATTGCCTGACCTCAGCAACAGCAAAATACTGAAAAAAATCTGTGCACAAAGTAGCTCAGAAAAGAGCTTGGGATTTTTGTCTAATGGGGAGAAGCATCACTTACCCATTAACATATGAGTGAGAGAACTGGGTTAAGGAAACCTGATCAGGTAGATGGCCACTGTGGTTTCAGGCTTATTCTTTCATGCTTCCTGGCTTGGAGAGAAGGTAAAAGTCTCTTGTCCAGCTTGTCCTGAGTGCTTTCTCGGAAGAACAAATCCACCTTAGGTTGTTTATAGTCCATCTTTCTAGTAAAATGACAAACTCTAACCTTGTCAGGCAGTCACTGTGCTATGACCAAACCGGAGTGGAAAAAATGAGTATTGACTGTTTGGAGGGAGTGGTGGGGGGTGGAAATAAGGTGAAATAGTTCAGACTGTGGTATGGTTTGAGTTCTGTACTGCCTTAGGTCAATCTCAATTTAAAGTTTTCAGTTTAGATTCTTTGCTTGGCTTGGTCCAGAGTATCTGTAGAGGAAGGTGGGTTTCAGGGCATTATTATTTTGATTAATACTGCGTTTATATTTTGAAAGGAAGCTGTTCACATATTCTCTTTGCTTGTAGTAATTCTGCCAAAAACCTGCTTTACCCTGGGAGAAAAATCAGGTGATTTCTTACTCAGACTGTCAAAAATAACTTGAAATAACTGACAGCTGAAAGAAAACAACAGTTGAGAAAGACAGGAGGCTTCATATACCATAAGCCCTAAAAGAGGTGGTGCAGGATACTGCAGACAAGACCGCTCCTCCTGTATGGCTCATTAACGTGCGGCAGTTAGACACCATGGGCATATGCATGTGATGTGGTAGAGATGTCTAGATAGGTCTAATTCAGGGCGTAGTAACTTTGGTGTGCTGGTAGTGGGCTGGTACTAGAGGCTGCTGACTCTGAGCGGTTGCTGCGTGTGCCAGGGGTAGGTAGCTTGATGGCTTGCTAAAGAGAAGCACTGACCATGCATGGAGCAGAGGGTGTATCGGGAGGTGGTGTTCCTGCAGCCAGGCCAAAGCCTCTGCTTTAAAATGAATTTGTAATTAAATTCAAAGACATCCTTACCTGTTAAGACATGCTTAAGTTTGAGAACTCATTCAACAGCCCTGACTTCATACTTTTGATTGCTTTTAATTCTCTGTCACTGGATACTGATTTATTACAGCCCAAACATGCTCAAGCATCCTAATGTACAAGACGGATTCCAGAAGGATGCATTGCTTTTGGAAGGAAAATATTCCCCTTACTTAAGGTTAATTTTTATTTTCTTATGAGAATATGTGGGTTTTTTTCCCAGCTGGTGAAGGTGTATCCAACCTATCAGAGTCTCTAGCAAAATGGTGAAGCACTGGCACAGGTTGCCCAGTGAGGTGGTCGATGCCCCATCCCTGGAAACATTCAAGGTCAGGTTGGATGGGGCTCTGAGCAACCTGATCTAGGTGAAGATGTCCCTGCTCATTGCGGGGGGGGTTGGACTAGGTGGCCTTTAAAGGTCCCTTCCAACTATTCTATGATTTGAGGGATGCACATCTTTACTGGGCTGGGATGATGGTAAATTCTTTCTATTCTTGACCCAGAGCTAACAAACAGCTGCTCTGTTAAGTCTGATAAACACTTGTCCAGCTTAGATCTTAAGAAGGTTGTGTGCCCTCCCACCCTGGGTAGGTCAGCTCTGTGGGTAGGGGCCGGGCTCCAAGCTCAGCTGCCCTTGTAGCAAGAGAAAGAACGTCAAGATGATTAAAACAAAAGTTTCCCTGCTAAATGGTGAAGAAAGTATTAGGACAAAAGAAATAATAAATATCTATCTCTAAACTCTGGCCTTTTGTTTATGAAATGTACTCTTGTGTTTGTTAGATAAAAATATTAACCTTGCAGCAACTTATGTGGAGCAGATAAAGTGTTTTTAGACCAAAAAAAACACCTATCTTTTGATAACAGAAAAGCTATAGATTGCACTGCCAAATGATATTGAATACTACTTGGATGGGATAGACAACAAAAATGATTACTCTGGTAATCTGCGCTATAGCTGCCCATTTGTCTCACTTGCAATACAGTGAAGTTACAAGATTGCTAAAAATGTTTGCAGAATAGATTTTTGATTTGGATATTCCCATGGCAACTATGTTCACTACAAAACCAGGTATGACTGAATGTTGTCACCTGTATTAGTCCAGAACAGCGAGACTGAAATGATTACTATTATCCCACTTAATACTGCACTTTGAAAAGCCATTCTGTCAAGTCTTCCAATGATTTTGCAAAGCTGTAATAATCTTTTTGGGAGATGTCACGACTACTGGGGTGACTAGTGGTGTGGGAACACCAGCACTAGCGAGTATTAGATGGGCTAATTGGTTTAGAGGCAAGCGTTCAGAATGAAAGCAGTGATGTCTGTGACTAGTGGTTTGAGTATCTTTTAGGTTCTTGAAGTTTGTAGAATCAAATTAAATTTTAATAGGACAATGAATAGGAGAGATTTTTTTTTAACTCTTTCCTTCCCCCCATTCCTCCTTACATAGGTAGTGGGGTCTGTACAGGTGTTGGTTTGAGAAGCTAAGTCATCCTTTATATTGTCTTCCAAACCAATGGAACCTGAGCTAAGGACAAGCACAACAAGATATGTCACGTGCAAAGGAGAAAAAAGGGGCTATTTAATATTAAAAGAAAAAAAAATTATGTATCTTTCTGGCAGAAGAAAGAAATGATGACAGTCACATTATACCGTGGTTCAGGAGAAATGAGGAATACTGCCTCCTGCCAACCCAGAGCTGGTAACACAGTCAGCTGGAAGCAGTGGATGTAAAAGGCAAAAAAGTAATTACTTGTACAAGAAGTTAGTGCAGGTATGACTTATTATTTTTAAACTATGATAGGATTTAAATAGTATGCTTTCAGAATATCTTTCTCCCTGGAGTATTGTGGTAATGTTACTGCTGAATATAAATCTCAAAGCTCAGATCACTCTGAATTCAATAAAGAATGTAAAGAACAGGCTGTACTAAAAATGAGACTAACATTAAAACTCCTGTTTAAGAGCTGACTCTTCTGAGCTTCCGTCAGTCATAAAGAATATTGTGCGGTGGGTCCTTTGCTCTTCATTTTAGTGAAACCCTGCTTCTAAATCCACCAAGCCTTAGTGTCCAAAGTGCTGTTGTCTTCCACCAGTGCTATGCAGGCTGATCCCAAAAGCCGACCTCCAGAATCAGGGTTTGCCAAAGCTTAGCAGAAACATTTTACATTGTGCCTATTTACAATTTGTAAAGCTCCTGCTTTTAAAAAAAAAAAAAAAAAAAAAAAAAACCGGGGGGATGGAAAAAAAAAAAAAAAAAAAAAAAAAGCCGGGGGGAGTGATGTGGCACTGTATAAGCAGGCCATCACTGTCCTTTTAATGCTTGTTCAAAATCTTACACACAATCATGCAATCTTCTTGAGCAGTGGAGCAGCAAAATGTAAAAAACCAATGTCATGAAGGGCAGTATGAGAATAGCAAAGGTGCTGGGCTTATGTGCGTATCCCTGAGTCTGAAGAGCTGCTGTGTGCATTCAGCTGATGGCTGCTCAGCCAGTTTCTCTCCCCTAATTTGCAAAGCCTGGGAACCCTAAAAGGTAAGCTGCTCAAAATGTATTAACTTAATTTCTGTTGTAAGGGAAGTGTTTTATGCATTAGAGTAGGAATTTTTCTCTGAACTGTGTAATCCTGGTGTCTTGAGAAAACAAGCAAAAAAGAAAACCTGAAAACACCACTATGGCGCACTTACTACTATAGAATAAAGAATATCCTGTTTGTCTATTTGCTAGCATGAAATTATCAGCTTGATTTAATTAAATAAAAAAACATACAATTTATTCTTATAGCCTGGGAAACAGGAGCTTGATTCTCAGCAGTATTTTCAGCATAAGGTCAACTTCCACAATAAAGAATAGGAAGTGGAGTGTGCAAAAGAATTATGTTTTGTCAGTGACATACTTCTTGCATTTTTCAGCCTCTTCAGAAAGAGGTGGTGTGTGTGCTAGTAAAAGTTTAACTGTTTCTCCAAATCGCTGTTTGATCAGTTTTATCAGCTTGGCGGCCTTGCCGCTCCCTGCCCAGGTCTTTTGCTGGTGTGTGGAGACATCTGCTGCCCAGCCCTGAAAGTTGACTTTGATCTGCTTGCAGAAGGCACTAAGAATAATGAAATAATCTTGTGCAGAGTAGTACTGTAGGATTAATCTTTTTTTCCCTAAAGGTCAAGTCAAATGCAGCCTTTTCTGGAGATTCTCCATTTTCGTAGCTTTATCTGTATAAAGTAGTTGCTGGTGGTGTGAGATACTAACAGTTTGTCTGGTATCTTCCGCCGTTAACTTCCAACTTTGTGCTTGCAACTGCTTTGTCTCGACTGAGTTAACGGAGTGTCCCAGATTGTAACTGTGTATTCGGAGCTAGGTTTGTCTCAAACAACTCTTGTGTTAGCGAGGGCTGCCTGGAAACCTTGATCTTCACCTCTGGTCACAGGAATGAACCTCAGATGTCTTGACTGTAAAGAATTTGGAGTGCAAACTCGCATGGTATGAAATTGCCTTCTTTGGGGAAGGTGTTAATAACAGCTTGGATAGTAATCTTTTGGCATTTCCTGTGCATGGTTGATTTGGCCTTGGGGTATGGAGAAGGACTTAGCTGACCCTTAGGATCCCTATCTGCTCTCTCCTAAATCTGTTTCATCCAACCTCTGTGTTGCAGAAAGAAGAAGTGGAAGATAACACTGACGCAAACATGGAAGGGGCTCTGATAGCCCGGGACAGAGTTGGGGTGCAGGACTTTGTGCTCCTGGACTCCCACACCAGTGAGACTGCTTTCCTGAACAACCTTCGCAAGCGATACCAAGAGAACCTCATCTATGTAAGTGTGGATTCGTGTAGTCTATAGCAGGTGAAGTATCTCCAAGTGTGGCATGTATATAAATAAAAATATAAAGTTGCCCATCTAGATGGGATGCAAACTAAAACTACAGGGGCAGGAGGTGTTATCAATACAGAGGATACTCTCCCAGCTCTGATTTCAATGTTCTGGGACACATTGCTAGATGTTAGTAGTACCCAGGAGAGTGATCACCCAGTAGTAGTCTGTCTACTTGCGCTAATGAAAACAATATTCTCAGCCTGCTCCAAGTTGCCTTACAAAGATCCAAGCATGCAGTGGATAGCATTTCACTTTCCTATTTCCTTGTTAACTTTGAAGGCAAGGCAGTGCTGAGCGTGGTATCTGACTTGTATGAGAAGTGCTGAGTACTTCATGGTGCAAACTAAGATGACTTTGCAACCATGCCCATTTTCTCAGCAGCCCCAGGGTTATACATTGGCTTACAGCAGTGGCAAGTAGTATCTAAACATGTCCTTTGTCAAATGAGGACTGATATTTCCATAACAGTAATGGAAAGAATTTAAAAGAAGATAGAACAGGGCATTTTGATGTGCTGAAAATGTATGCAAATAAGGGAAAATGTAATGTGTCCTGAAATGCGTTATTTGATCACCTTTCACAGTCCAGAAGGAATTTTCTCTGTTGAACATCTGTGGAATAGACATCCTACTTGGCTTTCCTTCACAGCATTAGTTATTGGTCATTTCCAGAGACTTTTGTGAAACAGAGCTGGGATAGTAAATGCATTATTATCTTAACTTCAAGTAGGAAAAAAAATCCTTTACGCATCATGAGATATCAAGACCTTGTATATGAAATGTAAGGTTCTAAGCTTGCTGTCGTTCAACTCCACTCTTAACTGGGTAGGTTTTGGAAGAAGTTGGTATTGGCTTTGAAATAGTGATGCCTGTGGAAGTTTTTTTTGTGGGTGATTGTTTTTTCTTCTTCTCTCATAACAAGTTCAGTACCATCTTTTTCAGTTGTACTTAACTCCTCTTTCAGGAGCTGTCATTGTAGTGATGGAACAGGTTTCCCACCTGTATGCATTCTTTTCTCCCTGCAGACATATATTGGTACTCTTCTTGTATCTGTCAACCCTTACAAAGAGCTGGATATCTACACCATGACACAGATGCAGCTTTATCGAGGGGTAAACTTCTTTGAACTGCCACCACATCTGTAAGTAGAACCCTTAGGATTTCGTTTTATATCAATAAATTGGTTTTTTTCTGTAATGCTGTTAACTAGCAACAAGGATTTGTATCCACAGTCACTAGGTCTGGTGAATGCTGATATTTTTATCTCTCTGTAGGTAAGAATATGTTTGTCTCTGTCTTCTAGCCAACTGTGAGAATAAAAGGGGAACAAAAGGATTGCGGAGTGATGTTGGGGAAACTGTAGGGGAAGAGGTATCTTGAAGATTACTGTCCAGACTAGTGCTCAGTGTGTCCTCGTTACTACACATGGTCTAGCCAGACCACTGCCTGCCTATGTCCATGTGCAAGTCAACATCTTGTCCTTCAGTTGTCCACAACACTCTGGTCATCTTGTCTTGTCCTCAAGCCCTGTGTCAGTGCGGGCAACCACAGGACTAGCACAGTGCTCATGCACAGCTTCCACTTGGATTTCCTGAGAGGGGAATAAACCTGAACTTCTGAACTCTGAGCTGGAATTTTTTTTCATGGTCAGAAGTTGTTAGGTGGTTTGCCAAGTAGGTGTGTTTTGGGGGGGGGGGGGGGGGGGTTGGGTTTTTTTTTTTTTTGGGGGGGGTGTTGTTGGTTTTTTTTCCTTCTTTAAGTGGCATATTGGTGGAGAATTAGTGAAGAACACTATTGGTTATCTTTGTATCTGTCTCATCAGCAGAAGTTGAGATCTTCCCTTTAGTGGAATCAAAACTGGCCTTGCTGCTTTGGAAGAGGGAGTCCCTGCTGTGTATAAACTGTATTTACCAGGGATACATGCAGCTGGTATAAATCCTACAGCAAAAGTGGGGGAAAAAGAACAAGCCCTATCTGTCCTTCAAATATAGACTGGGTTTTTACTATGAGACCTTGAGTCAGACTCACGTTTTGAGCTGTGCTTTCTCATCATGTATAATACTTGTAATGTTAGACAAGGAGTTAGTACTCCTGAAAAACTTTTGATACTCCACCTCCTGTTGCCATTTCTAGCAGATGCTTCTCCTCTGAATGCTTCTTGTGATCCTTGTTCAGATATGCCATAGCTGACAATGCCTACCGGGTGATGTGCAGTGAGTACAACAACCATTTCATCCTCATCTCTGGGGAGAGCGGAGCTGGGAAGACAGAAGCATCCAAGAAGATCTTGCAATATTTTGCAGTAACCTGTCCAACTACAGAGCAGCTGCAGATCGTCCGTGATCGTCTGCTGCTTTCCAATCCTGTTCTGGAGGTAAAAACTAAATAAAGGTACAGCATGCAGAAGAACTGGCATTGATGGCCTCGCTCCACAAGACTTTGATGCAAGTCTACACACCTGCACCCAGAAATGGCCTCCTGTTTCACAGGATTTTGCACCTGCATGTATAACATAAATAATAACATTCAGCCAGCCTCTTAGCAGCACAACCTCTGAAAGAATGCATGGGATTTAATATCACTCCATGTTTAGAAATTTAAACTTGGGTTTTATAGTGGAGGATAGCTGAAACCTGGGAAGTACGAGGAAACTGTACAGCATACAACAGTTCCTCATGGCTTCAGTTATAGGTCATAGAAGAAAGAGCAATAATTTGTTTAGCTGAATTCCACATTAAATCTAGGGAAATACATTAGTATAGAATCACTTAGGTTGCAAAAGACCTTTAAGATCATTGAGTCCAACTGCAAACCTAACACTGCCAAGTCCACCAAGCTTGTATTTCTTTAATCTCACTAAATTCAGTAGTAGGACTCAGCTGATGCAGCAAATCTTTATTTCTGGAGCTTTGTCCTACCGTGGGTGTCAGGCTCTCAGTCAGATGAGAAGTGACTTAATCTATCTGTTTATCCATAGGCTTTTGGAAATGCAAAAACTCTGCGTAATGACAACTCGAGTAGATTTGGGAAATACATGGATATCCAATTTGATTTTAAGGTGAGAACAAACTTAATGGACCGCTATTAAAACAAGCTGTATCAGTGAACCTCTTGGACACTTACCAGGCAGCACAGGATTTATTAAGACTTACACTGCAGATTTCTGACCCTGTTTTTACAGGCATTGCATTTTGTAAGTAAAGTAACTAGTTATACATCCTGAAAGCTTCCTACATTACTGGCAATCCTGCCAGTGCTCAGTAGAAAGCTAATATAAATTGTTGTAAAGCACAAGTTATGCTGGAAGGACAGCAAACTCTTTAGATACAGCTTGGACTGTTGTTGGATACTAACTCTTAAACACAGGATGGCAGATAAGTAACAGCAGAAACATGCTTCTCCTGACACTGCTCCTTGTTCCTAGGTTGGAGGAACAGCCATCACAGTGATGTTATTTATATCTGTTGGTGTTGATCTGACTGCTTTGTTCTGCCAGGGAGCTCCAGTGGGAGGGCACATCCTCAGTTACCTAATTGAGAAATCACGAGTTGTCCATCAAAACCACGGAGAAAGGAATTTCCATATTTTCTACCAGTTATTAGAGGGTGGAGATAAGGATCTTCTTTGCTGGCTTGGGCTGGAGCGCAACCCCCAAAAGTACGCATATCTCATCCAGGTCAGTGAGAGCTTGTCCCTCTCTCTGGATTTCACATCTAGAATTGTAGGGATTGCAAATGCAGCTTTTCTCACTAAGTGCGCTGCTGAACTGCTAAGAGAACCCACTGTGTGTCACATTATAGCAAAACTCGCAGGCAGGTTGGTTGCAAACATATTCACTCTGCGGTTGTCAGACACTGTTCTACCCTGGGTGCTTTTGTAGCAGGAACTGTTCCAGCTGTTATGGCCTAAGGATTCATGTGATAAGTGGCTTATAAGGGATAACTTTTATTGGATCAGCTGATATAGTTGTGGGGACAGAAACAAGCTTTTGGGCAATATGACCCAGTGACAGCAAGGCCATCAGAGTTTTAAAAAAGTTGCTTTCACCAGGTCTCTTGTTAATTGTGTATTCCCCATGTTCTGTGTGTGCAGAATGGCTTGCTGCTGCCATCCATACTGCTGCTGTGAGAATGTAAACACTCTTAAGCAGATGTCACCAAGCCATTTGATGACCCTAGTCCCTCTGGTATGGTCAAGACACTTCCTGATTCATTGAGAAGAGTGGTCTGAGCTACTAAACAGCAGAGCAGTATCTGCCTGCAAGTTACACTTTGTATAAAGGCATCTCTTCTAACACCCTTGTGTCAGGACCTGGTATAAAACGAGTTTCTTGGGATTTATGGACCTCATATTATAGAGATCCATAGGTATGGTTATGCAGTATACAGCTCACTTTGTGGTAGTGCTCTCAGTTTCCTTTCTTCCTTGGTAGTGAAGAATACTTGGGCAGAAGTTATTATTACCATAAAAATGGAAGATGGCTGTAAGCTCAAGCTCTTCACAAGATTTAGGCATTTTGTGGTAATCACTGTCCAAGCTCAATGCTTTATCTGTAGATTTAAGTATACGCTGAAAGATCTGATCAAATGAGCCACTTTTAGGATTAGCAGGAGTGAGAGAAACTTGCTAGCTAGCTGCAGGCTGCATCTGTACAGGCTGAGGAAACTGGAAATGAAAGTAGTATGCCCAGTAGTATGCTATGTTTGTTGCTGATTTAAAAAAAACCCAAAAAACAAAACAAACCCCAACAACCAAAAAAACCCTGCTTTGCCAATTAGTTGTACTAATTCATCTTTCTTTTACTGTGTAGGGTCGATGTGCCAAAGTATTTTCTATTAATGACAAGAATGACTGGAAAATAGTCCGCAAAGCTTTTTCTATCATTGACTTTACTGAAAAAGATATAGAGGTATGCATGTTAAAAGGGGCTGAGCCTATCAAAGGGAATTTAAATAAGGAGTGCGCTGCTGTCTTTTGTCAAAACTGATGGAAGCAGTCTTGCTTGGGAGAGGTGTTCGGGATGGAATAGGACATCATTTGGGGGGTTGAGGGAGTGGGTGGGTGAAGAGCTCTATCAGCACGATGGCAACTGGTGGTAGTATATCTCTGAAGCAGGTTGTCTGACTTGCCTCTTTCAGCCTAGCCAATATTCTGTTTATTAGTATGCATAGCAAAGATTAGTACCATCCCATGGAGCTGTGGGAACCTGTTTTCTAATGGTATATCTCTCATTATTAGCACCTCTTTGGAATTGTTGCTAGTGTGCTGCACCTTGGGAACATTCAGTTTGAAGAAGATAGCAATGGACATGCCATCATTCGCGATGGCACGCAGATCAAATGGATTTCAAAGGTATCTCTTCTGAGATGGTGTCAGTATTACAAGTGCTATGAAGAAAGCCTTAACCTTGCTGTGTTTTCCTCTTAAGCGCAAAAACATCTGTTCCCAAAAGCAGAAGGATTGCTATATAAATACCTAGCTCTTGTTATAAACTATCTTGAATTGTAGGGCCCCTTTTCTGTGTAGCACATCTCTCTGAAACTTCTTTACACTGTTGCTCGAAGATGAGTATATCTGAGATCTGCCAAAGCTGGCATCCCCCTGAAATGAATGGGAATGGACTGGGGGGTTATGGCCTACTGATCACACTGTACTGCTTATTTAAGCAGTCTCCTGCTGGCCATACTCTGAGTGCAACTATATCTTTTTCTGCAGCTACTGGGTGTGCACTTGTCCATTCTGCAGGAAGCTCTCACCCATCGGAAGATCGAAGCCAGATCTGAAGAGGTATCGAGTAGTCCCTTGTAACCCCAGGCAGCTGGGAGTCACCCCAGTTAGTGGTGGTGACAGATGAGGAGCTCTGTTCTTAGCAGTGTTACAGTAAAACTGGATCACTCTGGCTGTCTCTCTCCTCCATATTTTCTTCCTCTTCTTGCCCGAGACGTTAAACTAAAACATAGAATCATAGAATCGTTTAGGTTGGAAAAGACCTTTTAAGATAATCCAGTCCAACCATTACCTAACACTACCAAGTCCACCACTAAACCAATTAAGGGTAGAGTAATAATTTCATGTTTCCTGGCTTGGTGGCTGGATTATTTTTTAATGAAAGTGAAAAGTAGAAATCATTAAGGTTGGAAAGGATCTCTAAGATCATCAGTCCAACCATCAACCCAACACTACCAGTTCCAATGTTCCCAGTATTGGAGTTTTACTGCTGAACGAGGTAGTAACTGTTAAAAAGCTAGGAAGAGGGACTTGCAGGCAGCCCTGTGTTTGAGCCAAATGATTTCCTTTTGTTCTGTCCCTGGAGTGCTTCCTGGGAAACTGGGCTGCATAAACAAAGAAAAGCACTGGTAAAAGCTGTTCTTTGAGCATTTTGTACCAAGTTTAATAAAATAAAACTCAAAGGAAGTCTCAATAGTTCTCCCTGCTTGTCTAAATTAGTACTCTCCAAAGCATAGCATCACAATTCTGCTGGCATGTGGCCATACAGCAGACTGAAGTAACACTGATGGTAAATAAAGCTGTAGGCAGCTACAGTTCAGATAGGCTGAGCACTGTGCTGTGGTATACAACAACATGGCTAGTTCTCTAAGCCACAGGTGTGAACTGGCTTTGCAGAAGTTTGCTCTGATGATCTGTGGTATTTATCATCTCCAGCATATCTTTCTTTATTTTTAGGTCCTAAGCCCATTGAATGTGGATCTGGCGTTCTACGCTCGGGATGCAGTAGCAAAGGCGATTTACGGGCGAACTTTCACTTGGCTAGTCAGCAAAATTAATGGCTCTCTAGCCAACAAGGTTGGTTTCTTGTCTAGTGCCCTAGACACTGAGTGTTCCTAACATGCTGAGCAGAGTTTCTCCAGTGAGGCCCTACAGTACTCATCATCAAGTATCTTAGATGCTTGGTAACTGATGTAGGGGCAACCCACAGCACTGAGCTGAAAAACTGTTAGGTGTGGAAGGTGGTACCTTAAATAGTTTTAGCATTTCATTATCTGCTTTAAAGTGGCTACTCCATTGGCATGTGATACAAAGCTCTCAAAGAGAAAGTTTAAAATTTAGGTGGAGAAAGCAATGTGAAACATGCAGGGAAGAAGCATCAGCTGAAGCAGCAATTACAGAGCAATGGTGTCTTTAACAGGATTCAACTCGGAAAACAGTTATTGGCCTGCTGGATATCTATGGGTTTGAAGTGCTGGACACAAACAGGTAACAACAGCTCCTGAGGCATGGGGTAATCCCTCCTGCTGATGGGGGCATGTGCTGAAGTCCTATATGGCTTCTTGAGTGTACTCTCATCCTAGCAAGGCAAGCTACAGGTGACTGCAAAATCCGAGTGCACTGGGTTAGCTGAAACCCCTGATGAAAGCTTTATCTTGGACTGCTTGCCTGGATTTGAGCCATTGGCCCAAGAGTGTGGGAGAAGTGTGTGGGTTTGATCTCTAGTAGTGGGCTGGCTGGCTGGAAAACAGTACGTAGCGGTGGGAGAAGTAAAACTGTCCATGCAATAAATAAAAACTTATGCTCACTTAACCACTCTGAAGCTTTGAGCAGTTCTGCATTAATTACTGCAATGAGAAGCTCCAACAGCTGTTGATTGAGATGACCTTGAAAGCAGAGCAGGAGGAATATGAACTTGAAGGAATAGAGGTAACTTATTTTCCCCCTCCCTTTTTTCTTTGAACTACCATTACACTGAATGCTTTTGATCATCGATGAAGAAGATATCCTGGGTTTTTTTAGTTTGCATTGTTCTTGTGGGAAGTATAAGATAGCCATGGGTCTCATTCTGTAACACTTGTAGTGTAATTTAGTGTCAATTTAATTTACATCATCTAAGAAAGGAGTAGGACATTGCCACTGTTGACCTTTTGAGTTTTGGGGAATGTTGCTGTAGAAATGAGGAGCTCCAACAGTGTAAGACACTGGGTGATGGAGTGCATTAATGTAGAGAATAAGAGGATGGTCTGGGCTGCTGAAAGCAGGAAGACTGTAGTGTGGGGTGATGGATCAATGTGCTGTCATTGTTTCTCCAGCAGCTCAGTTGGTCCTAATTTACAACACTGATCTTTACTGGGATTGGAGCCTGACTCCAAAGAACTTAGAAATTGCAAGAAAAGACCTTCCTCTAAAACTTTTCTTCCTTTTTTCCCCTCTTATTTCCAGTGGGAACCAATTCCATATTTTAACAACAAGATCATCTGTGACTTGGTTGAGCAGAAGCATAAAGGAATAATCTCCATTCTGGTAAGAACAGAGTTTGTGCTACTTAAATTAAAAAGCATACCTGTGCCCTATTTCAATGGTCCATAATCATATTTTTTTCCTCTAATTATGTGATAGGTCTGCATTATTCAGAATGTAAACAAATAGTCCTTGTAAACAAAGACCCAGAAGATTAAGGTAGAGGATCTGCTTGTTAGAGAGCTGTGTGTTTTAAAGGTGGTATGCTGCTTCCACAGCAACTCAAGAGTGCTTGAGAAGGCAGACCTAGGCCATTCTTTCCACTTTTTGCCTGAAGACACCGAGATGTAAAGGGAAGGTACCTGCAGCAACCTGGCTGGCTACAGTCAGCAACAGGGATGGGACCCAGGCTTCTTTGGGGTACCATTAGGGAGACTGTGGAACACCAGGAGTGCTTCCCCATAGCCACCTGAAGCCAGACATCTAGGATTTTGTAAAGATGAAAAAGGACAATTCATCCCATCTATCTGCTTACGTGACTTGCTAGCCTTGATGTCTGATGCTTCAGAAGGTCTCAGCTAGGAGAGAAACACGAGAGCTGCCTACCTCCTCCTGAGCTGTAGGTCTTCCTCTTGTTTCCTCGCCCTTTAGTTGTTGCTACTCCTAAAATACTGATCTGAAGAAGATCCTCTTTGTGCCTTCATAGGGTTGGCAGGAGAAATGGGAGAGGCTGAAGGCCCTGCAGAGCCTTTAACAAGGAGCTTGTTCTGCAATGCTGAGTAACTTTTTTTGCTTCAATTAAGCGTGCAGTTCCATGGGGAGGAGCCTGAGCACACGAGCTAACTACTGTGATACATTCTTGAATGCAAACCCTAATTAATATGAAATCAAGTAATCTTCCTGTAGAGACTTGTAGCCAAACTTGAAGTTGAATCATCCCTTGCTGTCATCTCTGACGTGTCCAGAAAACTGACAATTTTTATCACCTTGGTACAGGAGGCAAGGGATTAGTACATCATAATCCAGAGAAGGTACTGCTGAAGCTCAGCATTAGCTTCACATTGCAATGGATTGCTCTTTCAAGCAGGACTTTTCTACACATAGTACAACTGGAGGAGCAGAAGGAGTTGTGTTTCTGGGGTTAGGAAAAAGTATTCTGTAACCTTGTCTTCCCCCTCCAACTCTGTGATTCATCCAGACCGAGAGTCCTTCAGGTCCTTCTGGATTTTGGTTAGTCATTGTTCTCGCTGGTTTTGTTTAAATGAACTACAAATGATAAACGATGAGGCAGGGCATTTCCAAATTTGGAAGAAAAAGCCAGATTTGACTTAACTTGATTTATCTTGACAGATCTACTGAAAACAGATAAATGAAGCTCTAAATTTAACTAGGAAATTGCTTGTATAAAAGAGAGCTAATCTCAAATTATAACCAAGCTCTTTGGTTTTGCATAACAAAGTTATACTAAGTGTTAGTGAGGAGGGAGTAGTCTGTTCAGAGCAGAGTTTGATCTGGTGTCTGTTGCTCCAGGATGAAGAATGTTTACGACCTGGTGAAGCGACTGATTTGAGCTTCTTGGAAAAGCTGGAAGAGAAAGTAGGAGATCATGCCCACTTTGTGACGTATGCATTTACATTCTGTATCCTATCACAGAGGAAACTCTTCTATCTCTAACCCAAGCAAAGTATTGGGGAGGGAACAATTTTTGCTTTGTACCAAAGACAATCAAGCAGCCCTTCCACTGTCTAATGTTGTAATGTGCTACGCTGCTAGAGCATGACCTGGGGTACTGGGGAGATGGTGGTGTCTCTTTACTAGTGTGATGATGATCTTTGAGTCTGGTTTTATTCCACACTAAAATTAAGGACTGAAGATTAGATGGCTTTGGCCCATGATTTTAGCTCAAGAAGGTTAGATGGCTTTGGCCATAGATGGTTTTGTCCCCCATTGACACCAGAGAAATATGAAGATATTGTGAAGAGGAGCCTAATGCCCTAGGCTGTGAGGGGTACGTTTAAGTCCATCTTGATATGTGTGAGCTTTGAGTACAAAGAGGAAAGAAACATGCTCCTGCTGAAATCTCCCAGATGAGTGGTATTTTGGTTAATACTCAATTTGTGGTATTTTCGGATTCGGTTTTGGTGGCAGATTAACATGCTGGCGGTGGGCTGTTTTGGCAGTTCCCAGCAGAAGCCTACCGACAGGCTTTGACAAGTCATAAATTCAGAGTCACGCTGCTGAATTGTCACCATTTCTACATCTCTGAAGTTCATCACAGCCAAGTGGAAAATTTGTAGCCAACTTCCTTGTCACCACAATGTGCCTTAACACTGTTCTGCTTGATTAAAATCTTTAAATAGAAGTGCTAGAGCTACTTAAATGGGATCTGTACTTGGCAATACTCTTAGAAAGGAACTTTGATGTACTAATGTGCTGTTGTGACACACAACTCTGCTGTAGTGAGTGCTTACAAAGCTGAAACTTAAACTGTTAAGTTGCTCCCCCCCTCCCTCTGCCCCCTCCCTGGAGTCCTTGCCTTCTAAAATCTTCCTGCTATTCTTGAAAATTTTGATTCCTCCTTTGCATTTGGGTTCTTGCTCTAGGGCAAAATATCTCAAACAATCCTTTCCCCTCCTGCACGGTTTCACTTTGAAATTGAGGAAGCTGGTGATCTTTTCCTCACAGAGGCAATGAGAATGTACTTAAATGAATGTTATGGGAAGAAATCTTGATACTTCTGGAAAGGGTGGTCATTGCCAAATGGCAATGGATAGGTCATAGATATTCTGAGGAGTTTAGGTATCTGACTCCCATTCTCTGCTGCTAGCTGTTCAGAATGCACAGATAAGATGATAATTTGATTATAGGCCGTAACTATATAGTCAGAGCCACGTCAATAGGAACAAACATTAGACTTCCAGCTGTGCTACAGGTGCTTTTTGTGCAGGAGACTTTCTACAAGCTGAGGAAGTCTGTTTGCTGCTTTTTCTCTTGGTGTTTTCTTTTTTTCCTGCAGTCGCAAGCTTGCAGACCAGAAAACACGGAAATCCATTGACTGGGTGGATTTCCGCCTCCTTCACTACGCAGGAGAAGTCACTTACTGTGCTGTTGGTGAGTGTGAACCTCAGCTTTTAAGCCAATGTGGTAGATGATAACTTGATGGGAAGGTGAATTACAAAATATCTGTCCTCTGAAGGTACTGTTACTTGGAAGTCTTAAATGTGAATGCAGTGAGAATTTTTCATAGAATCATAGAATGCTTTGGGTTGGAAGG